TACAGTTCTTCTATTGCAGATCACTTTCACACATGTGGTTGTGTTTAAATAAAAGTACTTAGACGCATTTTTAAGTGTTTCACAATTTATACCCATTATATCATTTGTTCTCACAACAGCAGAAACCACAGTGTGTTAGCCCTGGAGGAAACCTCGAGAGTTTGGTTTTGCATCCCTGGGAGCTGATTTTATGTCTCAAAATATAGGCACTTTTGGGAAAGGCAGCATATCAATTTTTACTCAGTCATTCTAACCTTATGTGAATGAGCATATCAGTCCCTTTCCGAAGGGCAGATTTTTTTTTTCAAAGATTTTATTTATTTGACAGAGCGGGGGAGCAGCAGACGAAGAGGGAGAAGGAGGCTCCCCACTGAGCAAGGAGCCCAATGTGGGGTTTGATCCCAGGACCCTGGGACCTGAGATAATGACCTGAGCTCATGACCTGAGCCGAAGGCAGACGCTTAACTGACTGAGCCACCCAGGTGCCATCCCCAGAGGGCAGATTTTTAAGGGGGAAGATGGAGAACGTAGGGCAGTTAAGTGTCCGACTCTTGACTGCAGCTCAGGTCATGATCTCAGGTCATTATCTCAGGGTCGTGAGATTGAGCCCTGCATATGGGCTCAGTGGGGAGTCTGCTTGTGATTCTCTCCCTCTGCCTCTCCCTAACCCCCCCCACAATTCGTGCGCGCACGCATGCGTTCTCTCTCAAATAAATAAATCTTAAAAAAAAAAAAAAGCCCATGTAAAGGCACTGAGACAACAGTTCATGTACTTTTCCCCTGGTCCTTCCCCTAGCTGTCCTGCTGCCGTCGCGGCGGCCTCACCCAGTGCAGACTCCACAGCTATGAATGGGTGCCCATCAATCAGCATTCCCCCATGTTACCACTGCCGAAACAAACCCTGAGTTTCTGGCTAGCGTGACCATTGATTTCTCAGCCACAATGGCACACTTCCTTGGCTCTAGCAGAGTAACCCCCTCCCTGGTTACCAGTCCATTGTTCCCGTTCTTCCCTAGAACAGTCATCACTCACGGTTGTTCAGAGGGGCCAGGGAACAGAGCCACTCCAGTGCCGTCGCCAGCAGGACCCAACGCAGCTTCCAGACAGAAGGTCAGAGATGCTCTGGAAGCAGATGAGGCTTCCGCACGCAGACATGCAGGCTGGGTCCCACACAAGGATTCCCGCCCATGCATCCTTGAAATCCAGGCCATGCTTTATTTGCCAGGCCCTGCGTCCTGGTTTTTGGTTTTTTGTTTTTTAATTTGCACAGATTCTTTGTCAATTTGCCAAGCTCTGTGTCTGCTGAACTCCATCCACCAGAGAGGGTGCCTTTTGCAAATTTGCAGAAATCAACTCTGTGTGCTAGCATGGGCCTGCCAGTGCTGGGGCCCCGGGATCTTGGGGACCATGGGCCTTGTGGCCGTTCCACTGTTAACCCTCACACAGCGATGTTTTCAGGGATTCAGGGATTCCAGTCTAACAAAAGTGAGACATCCTGGTGGGTTTCCTTCCTTCCTTCCTACTTTCCTTCCTTCCTTCCTCTTCCTTCTTTTCTTGCTTTTTTAGTTCTCTGACTCTGGGAAACTATGAAATAGAGCAGAAGGAAGAGGCCACAGAGAAAAAATAACAAGTCGTCTTTGTATTTATAGAATGAGCCTAGAAGGACTTCTTATACTCACTCCGCACATCTCATCTCCCACCTTCCTCACCGTGAGCACAGGGTGCTTCTGCCTTTGGCGGCAGCCCGTGCTTCATGGTGTTGGAGCCTGTCCTGGCGCTGGCTGGCCCCACGGACCGGGAGTCTGAGTCTCTGTTTCTGGGATTCACTTTGTTCTTTGTCCAGGCGCTGCCCCCAGACCTCTACACCCACCTCTTTAATGAAGGCAAAACAAGGACACATTTTTTCCTCCTCTCTTCCTTCTCCCTTGTCTTTGGACTGCACTGCTTGTCTGCTGGCGGGATGACTCATTTCTTTGTCATCCTCCTACCCCATTCAGCCTGTCCAGATGCTCTCATTGCCTCTGTGCAGCGAGATGGAGCTATAGCCTTGTTTGAGATTGTCACTGGATCGGCTCAAGGCCCAGCAAGGCCCCCAAAAGTGGAGGAAGATAAGGACTGACTGAACAGAGACTGTCTCGCACTCTCCCAGGAGCAGAAGACAAAAATAGACTCCTTTGCCCCTTATGCCCTGGAGTTACCAAGGGTTTTCACATGATGCAGCTGTGGGAGCCGCAATGGAAGCCCTAAGTCATGCTCCGCCTCCCTGTCTGGTCCCCCTCCCCCATTTGTCCAGGGAATGCAAATGTGTCAATACTGCACTTCTCACTTGGCAATTTTCCAACATCTAGAATTGTGTTCCAGTTAGAAGGACCCAGAGGTCCTTTTTTTTTTTAGGACCCGGAATTCTTGAAATAAAACAGTATCTTGGTGGGCATCCAGAGGAAAAAAAAAAAGCAACCCCCCTCCTCTCCCCCCCCCCCCCGCCCACCGGGGGCTTAGGCTGAGTTTATTGAAAGGGCTGGTTGGTTTGACAGGTAATGCTCAAGTTCCTTGTTGATGGGTGGCTCATTTACTCATTCATTGCTTCAGAATTTCTTCATAAAATCCCTGAGAGCTACCTCAAGGCTTGGCCAGGATAATAAAGGATGGGACAATCTATATGCATATGTGAAACACGATTAACATCCGGAGGAAGAGGGGGAATGCATTTAAGAAGATCTATTTTAAAAGGTTATAGGAAATGGGATGAAATTAAGAAGGGAAATTTAAGAGGGGTTTTGGGAAATTTTGAGAAAGAGGAAATCCAGAGCAGTTCCCTGTGACCAGAAGATTCCACCAAGTGCTCTTGTTTCCAATGGGCTCAACTCCCCACTGCTCTCTTCTGAAACTTCAAGAAGGCTGTGAACAGTAGCAAGCTTCCTCCTCCCAGTGAGAAAAAGGCCCCCAAAGAGCACACCCTACGTGGCCTGCTGCCCAGTGGGGGGGCCTTGGCACTCCAAATTAGAACAAAGGCAGATTAGATCCTGCCTTCTTTCTGTTTCCTTCACAATGGGGGAGGGGGGGGCGGGCTGTGCTGGTTGGCAAGCTGGCCCTCTGAGCCTCGCCTGCTTTTTCTCGTTGGAATCCTGTCAACCAGCCCCCTCTGCTCCCTCCCCTCAACCCCGGCTCCATTTCCCGCTCCCTGCCTGTCCCCAGCAGCCCCAGAAGAAGCAGTGGGGCATAAAGAGTCCGTGCGCCCCCCACTCACCCTCTCTTTTTACCCTTGCTCCGAGGGGGGCCTGTGGCCAGTGAGGGGATGGGCACTTCCAACGGGGAAGTTCTTTGCAAAGAAACAAAGGGGCCAGAGCCAGGTCAGGATGAAAGTTTTGGAAGCCTCTGTTCTGACAGGGCCCTTGAGGATCCTTGCGAGGGGGGAGGGGTGGGACCCAAAGTTGTTGTGCCTGAAGGGAAATGAGTCAAGGGAAGAAATGCCCTGATTTAATTCTGGTGGACAAAGGAGTGAGTGGGCCTGCCAGACCACAAAATAACACCCCAACCAACTAACCTAGTTTAAGCTGCGGAGGGCAAGATCACTGGGGAAACTGGGAATTTGGGGTCCAGGAAGATCTGAGTCTAAAGACCAAAAGCCAGATGCCTCTGTTCCTTTCTGCCAATTTGCCCTTTGCTGGGCTTGTCTATAAAATAAGAGACAGACCTTCCAAGGGAGCAGTGGGGGGCGGGAGGGGCGAGAGCTGGGGCAGAGGAGCATTTCCTGTGTGGGACAAGGAGGCGTGGAAGTTCTAAGTGCAAGAACCGAGATTATTGGAGGTAGGTTGGCTCTGCGAGGTGCCAGTGGTAGAATCCCTATGGTGTCCTCTGAAAAGGTTTCAGAAGGGACATTTCTGTGGTTCCACCTAGTTGACTCCAGGGCAGGAACTCACTTTGAGCAAACCAAACGGACACTGGGTCCCTGGGCTGCCAAGAAGCACCAGGGATGGTCTCACTATTCAGCCCACAGAGAACTCTGGGCAAGACGATCTCCTAACCACCTGTGTCTATTGATGGATGAATGAATAAACAAGATGTGGTCTATACAGACAATGGAATCTTACTCAGCTTTAAAAGGGAGATTTGGAGGCACCTGGGTGGCTCAGTCGGTTAAGCATCCAACTCTTGATCTCAGCTCAGGTCTTGATCTCAGGGTCATGAGTTCAAGCACTACCTTGGGCTCCATGCTGGGTATAGAGCCTACTTTACAAAAAAAAAAAAAAAGGGAGGAGATTCTGACACATGGCTCCACATGGATGAACCTTGAGAAGAGTATGCAAAGTGAAATGAGCCAGTCACAAAAGGACACGTACTCTGTGATTCCACCTATATGAGGAACCTAGAGAGTCATCATAGGCATAAAGACAGAAAGTATTCTACTTCCTAGTGGTTGCCAGGGAAATGGGGAGTTATTGTTTATTGGGTGCAGAGTTTCAGTTTGGGAAGATAATAAAGTTCTGCAGAGGGATGGTGGTGATGCTTGCATAACAATGTGAACGTGCTTAATGCCACTGAACTGTGCACATAAAAAGGGTTAAGATGGTCAACTTTATGTATTTTACCACAATAAAAAATATATACAATTAAAAATATCTTCTAGGGGTGCCTGGGTGGCTCAGTCCATTAAGCGTCTGCCTTCGGCTCAGGTCATGATCCCAGGGTCCTGGGATCGAGCCCCACGTCAGGTTCCCTGCTTAGTGGAGAGTCTGCTTCTCCCTCTCCCTCTGCCTGCTTCTTTGCCTGCAGTGCTCTCTCTCTCTGTCAAATAAATAAATAAAATCTTTAAAAATATCTTCCAGACATCGGTGGCATTTCCTGCCGTGGGAGCTGATGCTGGAGGGACTGGCCAGGATCAAGTCATAGGTTCTTGACCTTTCCATACTCCTTGATCTCTCGATCACACGATGAAGTTTGTTTTTTTTTTTCCCCTTCCTCTCCCAGAATTTAAGGGACACTCTGAAGGAACAGTGAATACAATGAGGAGAGAGCTCGTGTGCGTCCTGCTGCTTTGCGGAGCAGCTCTCACCTTGTCCAGCCAGGTAGGAGGGCAGTTCGGGTCTGTGCCCCAAGCCTCGAGCCCGCGTACCCTCAATGGACTCAGGAGCCCCAAAGTGGTGTTCTGTCAGAGTGCAGAGGTCAGCAGTTACAGAGCGCAGAGCACACTCCTCTCTGTGTAGGATGCTCAGGATTCAGGGTTCCAGGTGCAGAACCCCAGGCAGTTCTTCTGACTTGGGCAAATAGTACTTAATCCTACTCCACTGCTACTGCCTGCCTTCTTTGGAGCTGTTTTTAAAGAATGTGTTTGAATTCATCCATAAAGCATCTAAAAAAGGTGGTGCACAAGCCGTGAGCCCTGGAAGCTGGCAAGCTGACCTAGGCTGCTTACTATCTACTTGGGATGGAAGCCATACTACGGACATGCTCTCTAAAAATGCCCAGCGAGCGAGGGCACCATGGAGGGCCCAATGAGCAGTACCTGCACAGTGAGATTTTAGAGGAGAGAGTTGGAGGGAACGGAGGGGGGCTACAACTCCACTAACCCCTTGCGGCTATTTAAATTTAGAATTAAATGCAATTAAAAATTCAGTTCAGTCGCACTAGCCCCATTTCAAGTGCTCAGTCGCCCCACATGTGACTAGTGGTTACGGTATTGGACAGCACAGGTACTAAAGATTTTCATCACTCAGAAAGCTATTTTGGTAGCACTGCTCTAGAAGGGGAGGACAAATTAGAAAAGAAGGCAAGAAGTGGACATTGCACCTGGGGCCAGCTACCCGAGGGGGAATTTTCAGAGCAGGTGGCATCTGACTGGGGTGTGTAGGCAGTCTCTGGATCAACCGTGTTTATTCCTAACACGCCCAGCATGGGCTGATCCTTCCTCCACCCTTGGTTGCTTTGCAGGAAATCCACACCCGATTCAGAAGAGGAGCCAGATCTTACAAAGGTAAGGTGAAGCTGAGGTGGAAGGGGGTCTATGGAAGCAGGAAGCAGAGTCAGGGCTTAGGAGCTCAGGGTGCTCTAGGCGCTGTCGGGGATTTATCTTCCACCACACCCAGCTTATGTAAGCTGTGTGAAGGTGAAATTTTGCAGGGTGATTCTGTAAAGATGCCTGCATCACCCCCCAGCCCTTACTCATTCACCTAGTTAGCTAAGGCGAGGTTCTGAGAGGACAGGAACAGGCGTGCCCTCAAGGAGTCCGGCTGTCAGGGAGTCACAGAGCTGGTGGGAGCCTGCCAGCTCAGTGGCCCGAAGCCCTGTTACACAGGTGACAAGACAGAGCCAGAGATTGAGCAACTGGCCCAAGGCCACACGGAGGCCAGGCCGCAGCTGCACTGGTCCTCCGGGGTCCTTTTCTGGGCTGTGAGCCCCATCCCGCCAGAGTCCACCTGGCATCTTTGTTAACTGCCATCTCAGTGCTTCCACGTCTTCTGGTTGGTAAAACCGGGGTAACAAACCTGGGTTACCTCACAGAAGTTCCACAGGTGTGGAAAGACTTTTCACTCTAGAGTCGACTCTAGAAACCTGAGGAAATCGCCATGAGCATTAGGTAGGATTCCAAAAATAAAACATGCTAGCAGCCAGATTGTCTTGACTCCGGTTGGAAGAACTCTTGGGCCCAACTTCACATCTAACGCTACCAACTTAGGACCCTCACTTCTTGTCCTTCATGACCTAGTTCCTTTGGCTCTGGAAGGCTTTGCAACACCTCTTTTAAAGTGGAAGTATGCTGTAACTTTTTTTTTTTTTTTTGAGAGAGAGAGCGCATGCGCACACGCGTATCTATAGACACGCACGCAGGCGCGCGCACACACACCCACATACATGCAGGGTGGGGGGAGGCGCAGAGGGAGAGGGAGAATTTCCAGCAGGCTCAGCGAGAGGCCCAACCTGGGGCTCAATCTGAGACCCTGAGATCGTGACCTGAGCCAAAACCAAGAGTCAGATGCTTAACTGACTGAGCCACTCAGGCGCCCCAACGCTATACTCTTAATGCCTTTGCTGTTGGATAGCACAGCATTTCTGACAAGGGTATCCTGGCCCCAGGGGACCCTCAAAAGAAACAACAGTATTATTTACAGCGAGCATGTGTCACTTCTTTAATTCATGAAAAGTTAAAGATTTCTTAAGTTGGCATTCTGGTTTGCAAACAAAGAGAGGCAAAGAGGGCAAGAATATCAATGCGAGTACTTAGACCGTTTTCATTAAATCAGAAATACTAGTGAGAGCAGCACATTCCCCACACAGACTAAGATGTCAATTTTCTTTCTTTTGGGCTAGCAATGCATCATTTCAGTGTGGTAGCACTCATGTGGATCAGTAACTCTGGTAGGAAATTATATACGTGTGCATATTTCTAATGAATTAAAATGAAAAATTAGGGGCGCCTGGGTGGCTCAGTCGTTAAGCGTCTGCCTTCGGCTCAGGTCATGATCCCCGGGTCCTGGGATTGAGCCCTGCATTGGGGTTCCTTGCTCAGCCGGAAGCCTGCTTCTCCCTTTCCCTCTGCCCCTCCCCTCCACTCCTGCTCTCCCTCTCTCTCTCTCAAATAAAATCTTTAAACACACACACACACACACACAAAATATAATGAAAAAGTAGAGTATTACTTAGTAAATGCATTTTGATAGATTAATTCTTCCAAGATGAGGGCCCCGCCAAGGAAGAACAACAAAAGCGGTCTTTGGTGACAGATTCGCAGGTGTGTGCTGTCTTTGGGCCCGGAGCAGGGAAGGGATGACAAGTGAGTGGGGGACTCTCAGTAGGACCCGCGGTGGGGTGGCACCGTTTGGGGATCGTGCCCTCAAGAGGCCGCCTGTCCCTCGTTCTAGTGAGTTGCAGAGACGAGAAGACGCAGACGCTGTACCTGCAGAACGAGTCGTGGCTGCGCCCGGGCGTGCGGGGCAACCGCGTGGAGTACTGCCGCTGCGTGGCCGGCCGCGCGCACTGCCACTCGGTGCCCGTGAGAGGTACGTACGCGCGCGCCGCCGAAGCTTCCAGCACCCGCGCCCGGCTCTCCGGCCCACGCCCCCTGTGTCCCCGGCCCCGCGCGTGCGCAACTTCAGATGGAGGTTATGGGCGTGCGGGGCCTCAGACTAAGGTGGTGGCGCTGAGCCAGAACGTGAGACTGTGACCTGGGGCCCTCGCCTTCTCCTACCTGGCCTCAGCTTCCTCGTCCGTCAAATGGGGAGAATGGGCGTACCTACCTCACGGTTTGCTGTGAGGAAGAAATAGCTCCGTTTGTAAAGCGCCGAGAATAGTGCCTGGCAGGCAGAGCTCACTCTTAAAATCCTAACTCCTATTATCCTTGGAACTGCTGTGAAAGTGATTGGGGCTGCCTTGTTTGTCCTTGACAGTCTGCAGCGAACAGAGGTGCTTTAATGGCGGGGCGTGTCGGCAGGCTGTCTATTTCTCAGATTTTGTCTGCGAGTGTCCTGAAGGCTTTTTGGGGAAACACTGCGAAATAGGTGAGTGGTGGGTGGGTGGGTGGTGTGAGAAGAGGGACAGAATCCCAAGTCTTCCCAGAAAGGAGAGGAAGTGTGTGGTGACGGGGGCAGGGTGGGGACAGGGAAGGATCCTCCCAGGGTCCGTTAGGAAACCAGAGCGCTGGGCGCAGCGGGCAGAGCCTTGGGTGCCAAGCTGGGGTCTGCCTGGGGGACCCTGGCCACCCCGTGTACCTCCTGCGCCCCAGTAGCTTCGGCAGTCAGCCCGCCTCGCTGGTTTGGGGTGACGACAGAGCAGATGTGAAACCCCTTTGGAAAACTAAATGACAGAAGGGGGAATGCACATGGGAGGCGTCACGTGTCCTGTTTTCTCTCTCTCTCTTTTTTTTTAAGATTTTATTTATTTATTTGAGAGAGAGAGAGAGGGAGCACGAGTGGGATGAAGGGCAGAGGGAGAAGCAGACTCCCCGCTGAGCAGGGAGCCCGATGCGGGGCTCGATCTCGGGAGTCTGGGATCATGACCGAGCCGCCCAGGTGCCCCATGTGTCCTGTTTTCAATCAGATGCCAGTGCCACGTGCTACAAGGACCAGGGTATCACCTACAGGGGCACGTGGAGCACCGCGGAAAGCGGGGCCGAGTGTGTGAACTGGAACAGCAGCGTGCTGGCCCTGAAGCGCTACTCAGGGCGGAGGCCCAACGCCATCCAGCTGGGCCTCGGGAATCACAATTACTGCAGGTGAGGGGGCCCCCCCTTCCCGCTTGAGCTCGCTTCCCGCTGGTGAGGAGCTGCTACAGCTGGGGACACCACCGAGAGCTCATCAGGCAGCGGGCGCCACGGAAACAGAACCGGCGCCTTCTCTACCGACGCAGTGATGTTCGCAGGCGGCGGAGGCCGCCGCGGGGCTGGCCTGTCTGGAGCTTGTGGCCAGGCCCGCCGGCTGCCAACTCCCACAGGCTTTGCTGTTGCGGTCTGGAGGCAGAGGTCTTCCCAGCTTTTGCCCCTAAGGCCTTGCACAGACTGGATGGGGCTACCACATGATAAAGGATAATCTCCTTTACTTCAAGTCCGCTGATTGCGGCTGTTAACCCTAGCTACAAAATCTCTTCAGGACAGCACCTAGATTAGCGTTCGATTAGATAACTGGGCAGTCAGAGCCAAGTTAACCCATAAAACTAACCGCCACAGGCCAGCCCTTGTCAACGTGGCTTCTGTGCGCACCTCCTTAAACCATACTTAGTCTCCAAACGGAGACAGTAGCTAAGTCACACTTCCACCCAACATGATCCAGCTCCCTCCCCCGTGCACCGCCGACAGCGCACTGACCTTTTCCCGGGAAGAGGATGCAAAGTCTTTGGGTCTCAGAGGGAGGCTTAACTTGGCACCTACCCCGGCCTTCCCTGGCTGCTTTTTCAGAAACCCGGACGGGGACTCAAGGCCCTGGTGCTACGTCTTCAAGGCGGGCAAGTACAGCAGTGAGTTCTGCAGCACGCCAGCCTGCCCGGAGGGTAAGTGCTGCTTGTCCACCTTCCCCGGCAGCGTCCCCGGAAGTAGACTCTAGGAGGACCAAGCTGATTGTGTTTCTATAGCTGAGGACACTAAGGAGTGGGCTGGTGGTTCATCATTTTGGTTGCAGAGGGAAGAACGTCAGGAGACTTAGGTCCTCACCCGGGCCTGGCCTCTAACTAGCGGTTGGACCTTGAGCTGGCCTCTTTACCCCCCCGGGTGCCCCATTTTCTCGTGTACAGAGGAGAAGGGGGGCCGCGTTGGTGGTTTCCAGTCCTTTTGAGGATGAATGGAGATGCTCCCTTTTGTGACTGATGGGCCTTTTTCTCAATCTCTCTCTCTCTCTTAAAGATGTTTAATAGGAGAAGGTTTTCCAAATTTAAAAATACTAAATTATAAAAAAGCACTATGAATTCTGTGGTGCTTTTACAAATAATGATATCCCAATAGTATAAAAAAATGTGTTTTAAAGTTCTAAATATTCATATACAATAATAATGTGCCTTCTGCCTATAGGTAAGTCTGACATACCTGTGAATGTGAGGACTCTTTATAGTAATTCTAAAGCATCCTCTCCCCTCCCAGGATCGGTAAATTGGGACTCACTAGTCTAGGGGGCCTTAAAGATTGCTTTAATTATGCTGTTTATAGTGGTACACTCTGCCAGTTTTAAATGGGGAGAAAGGAGGCTAAAATGGGGCAAATCGGTGAAAATAGGCAGCATCCGTACGTCCATATTCTCTCTTCCTGCTCAAGCCCAACAAACCCTTCAGAGCACTGGCAGACAAAATCTGAGAAACTGGGGCTTCTGACATGTCCCTCCCTTGAAGAACTCTGGTTTGCCACAACCTGTCAAGTATAAGCAAGGAAACCCCCAGTTACTTTCAAAGCAGCTCCAGCAATAATCGCTACTAATTGGGCATAGGCCCTTCCTGCCGAACGTGAACAAACCCTCAGGATCTCTCAACACAGCAGTCCAGGCAGCCACATCCAACCGATGAAAGTTGGCCCACCAACTGAAAGCCATTTACCATCCCTATGTAAAAGGCCTTGAAGGAGGAGGAAAGAGGGGAGGCGGGATGGTATCTCCCCCCTCCTGCGGGCAGGCTAACTGCCTTCATCCTCTCAGGCCAGCAGCCCCGCTCAGGCCCTGTTGCAAACCCCGACTCGCCTGCGGTAGCATTTAATTGGTTTTGTTTCAGTTTGAGATTTCTTTTGTTCCAGAAAAAAATGAGGACTGCTACTTTGGAAAAGGGTTAGCATACCGTGGCACCTCCAGCCACACTACGTCTGGTGCCCCCTGCCTCCAGTGGAATTCCATAGTCCTAACAGGCAAGGTCTACACAGCGTGGAAGACCAATTCTCAGGCACTGGGCCTGGGCAACCACAATTACTGCCGGTATGTAGCACAGGGTCCGTGGGGTTCATGTCTGGGCAGAAGGCAGGACTGGGACGTGGGATAGGAGGTTTCATGCCTAAAGTTATATGAACGACCCAGAACCACGGATATCCTCTAGTCACACCTATTCACTTGCTAGAATAACACTTATTATAAAGAGGGAAGTTCACCAGTTTGTCAGCCCACATCCCACATTCGAGGTGCTGTCCCATAGCCACTTAGTCCTCATCCGTTCTGTTCTTGTCTGGCTCCTTTCTCCCAGGGAATCATAAGACTGTCCTCACAGCACAGCTCACAGTCCCTCCCAACATCCCTGTGAGAGGGGATGTGGCTGCCTGGATTGCTGATAGAAAAACAAAATTAAACTTGTCTTCCTCTGGTGAGATCTCGGACAGAGCCATGTTCAGAACTCAGGCCCCTCCTTCCCAGCTCATTGCTTTGCCATTGGTTTACTGAGCCTCCTTCTGTTCTCACGTGGCTTCTGATGTGCTTGAAAACCTTAAACTCTCTTATCATCTAGGAACCCAGATGGGGATGCCAAGCCTTGGTGCCACGTGCTGAAGGACCGCAAGCTGACGTGGGAATACTGCGACGTGCCCCAGTGCTGTAAGGGCTGGCCCTTGGCCGCCTCCCACTGCCCAGCCCCCCTTCCTGACCATTTCCTCTGCCACTTCCTGCGTCTTCACAGCTGTCTGGTTCAGACTGCGTAGTTCCCAGATTTTCAGGAAGGCCTTGGTGGGGAGGGGCTTTCCATGACTGAAGCAATGGTGGGATGACAGCTCTTCTGGCCAGGTGTTCACTTCCCACGCACGAGTGTGACACAGAGGGGCAAAACGAAAGAGAAGAACTGGCCAGTTTCTCTTAGAATTCATTAGGCTCTGAACGTCTCTCTCCAGATGCCTTTATTAATGATCGATGATGAGGTCGTGGTGAGCATGGAGGAGGATAGCTCACGCATATGGCTCCCTAGATAACAAAGTGCTCTCACAGCGTTCTCCCGACAGCGTGGGGAGAGGCGGTCTTCCTATCTTTGGTTTCTGGATGAGGAAACCAGCTCAGAAGTCACATGGCCTGGCCAAGCTCACTGGGCTCCGAGTAGCAGAGCCCGGGTCTGATCCCACATCCTCTGACCCCACAGCTGGTACTTCTGCTGTGAACTCTTCCAGCCTTTCTCACGGAGCCCGTTTCACACAGGGGACCTGGGTGGGTGGAGGGCGCAGAAGACCGAGAGGAAATTCAAGTTGGCACATTTTGCTAAAAAACTTTAGAAACTGTCTGAGAATGGATTATTATTACTCCGTTCCTGTGAACACACATATTAGCCAGAATGTTTCTCAAGGAACATACTACATAACTGGGCAGTAAGACACAAACTACCAATGGACTCACAACCAAGGCCGTGCATGGCGAGTCCTCGGTGAGCAGTATCCGTGAGCCTGCTCGGAGCCTGGTGGGCTGGGAGTGTTAAGAAAGCTCCACGAGGAGGTAGGATTTCACCTAGGCCTTGAAGGATGGGCAAGGTGGAGTAGATGGAAAAGAGATGGGGTAGACATCCTCCAGGAGAGAGCTGCAGGGCCGCATTATTTCTGAAGCCGGGAGACGGGTGCAGGAAAAAACGGGGGGTAATGAAGCATGGCAGAAAGATCCCATTTGGGGTCAGACAAATCTGGGTTCTAATCCGGGGGCCGCTGTGACCTTGGGCAAAAATTTCCCAGCTTCCCTGAAGTTCAGTGGGGTGAGGGTTAAAGATAGTGTATGTGCAGTGGTCGGTGTGCACTATGTGATCAACAGATGAAAGCTGTGGTTTTCGTTACCGCGGAGACTGCTCTAGCCCTCTCTATAGCCTGGACGCGAGCAGTAAGCCTGTGGAAACTCGGGGTTCCAAGAGAGAAAACCAAGATAGGTGCTCAAGGACCTCACCCAAGGACCGCAGGTCTGATCTCCCTTCTCCGTCCTCTCCTCTCCCAGCCACCTGTGGTCTGAGACAGTACAAGCAGCCGCAGTTTCGCATTAAAGGAGGACTCTACACAGACATCACGTCTCATCCGTGGCAGGCCGCCATCTTTGTCAAGAGCAGGAGGTCACCAGGAGAGAGGTTTTTTTGTGGGGGAATACTAATCAGTTCCTGCTGGGTGCTGTCTGCTGCCCACTGCTTCCAGGAGAGGTAGGGACTCCGGAAAACCCAGTCAGTCTCCCTAGACTTTGAGGCCTTGAAACCAGGGCCCGTTAGAAGAAGCCTCACAGCAAGCAGCGCGTCCTAAGGCTCTTCCTCCATTAGGTATGATGCCCACCACCTTAGGGTGGTCTTGGGCAGAACATACCGAGAGGTCCCTGGAGAGGAGGAGCAGAAATTTGAAGTCGAAAAATACATCGTCCATGAGGAATTTGATGAAGACACTTACAACAATGATATTGGTGAGATGTCCTGTGCTCCCTGTTCCAGATGACACGACACACACCCACCCATGTGCATCCGCACCTCTGCCTTCCTCCCCCTCCCCTCTCCTTCATCTTCCTCCCCTCCAATCAGACGAGCATCACATGGGGCTTATTCTCTTCTCGCTCTCCTCCCAGTCCTGCTGAAACTGAAGTCGGAGTCGCTACACTGCGCCCAGGAGAGCGACACCGTCCGCACTGTGTGTCTCCCCGAGGCCAACCTGCTGCTGCCCGACTGGACAGAATGTGAGCTGTCTGGCTACGGCAAGCACGAGGCGTGTAAGTGGGAGGAAGTCTCGGCCCCATCCTGTCTGTCTGCAGGACAGCGGGGCGTGCCGTTACTGAGAGGAAAAAGTCATGAGAAGGTTCTAGCCCTGGCTCAGGCACTGATGCTGTGTAAATGTAGGCAAGTTCCCTGCAGACCGAGAACCCATTGTCTGCCTGCCCCACCTCTCGGGGTCACTGTGCAGGTCAAGAAAGGCGTGAAAAGTACAAGTGCTTTAAAGGGCCTAAGATTGCAGGAAGGTTCTGATAAGAAGTGGAGGCGGGTGATTAGGGTGTGGGGCTCTTGCGACTCTGGTCGTGTAGGCCTGAGTCCACACCCTAGATCTGCACCTTGTAGTGGTGGGACCCAGGACGTGGGTTTTTATGTTACACTGGCCCCCTCGCTGGTCACATGGAGGTAGAATTGCCTACCTCCTTAGATTATGAGAATTGAATGATAGTAGGTTAAGCCAGTGGTTTTCAGCTGGGGTGTTTTTGCTGGCCATGTCTGGAGGCATTTTTGCTTGTTGCAACTCAGGATGGAGGTTTATACTAACATTTAGTCGAAGCAAGGGGGGCTGCCAAACATCTGCAGTGCACAGGACAGCCCCCCTCCAAAAAATGATCTGGCCCCAAATGTCAGTAGCGCTGCTCCTGAGAAACCATGGGCTAAACTCTATAACATAGCTGGTTTTGTTGGTCAAAACGATATTGACAGTATTTCATAGGCTTCAACCTCATAGATCTGAAAGCTGGATCCAAGTTAACCATTATTAGAAAAATCAGCTTCCTCCTTCTAGAAGATTTACAAATAACTTTCCCTAAAACTGTAAGATGTTTTCCCTTCTCTGTTTCAGCTTCTCCTTTCTATTCTGAGCGGCTGAAGGAGGCTCATGTCAGGCTGTACCCATCCAGCCGCTGCACATCACGGCATCTGTTCAACAGAACCGTCACAAGCAACATGCTGTGCGCTGGAGACACGCGAAGTGGTGGGAACCAGGCAAACCTGCACGATGCCTGCCAGGTAGACACGGGGGTCTCGTCCACCTGAGGGGAAAAGTGGTCCTTGGCCCACAGGTTCCTAAGCAAGACAAAGTTACAGCCAGAATGGATGCGTTCATCTTGGTGAGGCGCTGGAGATTCTAGAGGAGGGCCTCAACGAAATAACACAATCGGAGAGAGATCAAAGTTACCCAAACCTAAGAAATCTAAACTGCAGGAAATGTCCCCATTGTCTACACCGGAAACTCCACCTGATTCAGGGTTTCCTGTAAGCCCAGGCAATTGATCGACTATTGAAGTGATGGGTAAAGCAACACAGACGAAGCAATTCTTGACTTCTGGAGGGGCTGGAGAATTGTTGGAGTCTGCCATGTAGAGGCGGGGAGGAGAAGCTGCAGCTTGCCAGGGAGTATGACCCAGATGATTTGTGAGAAGTTTTAAAAACTCATGTCAGCCCTAATATGAGGTTTTTCGCCTGGGAAAGCAAACTATTTCAGGCTCTCTGTGTTGGCACCCTTGTCAGAGTCGGTACTTCCATTTCAGGATAACAGGGCCCTGGTATGGGACACACACCAGCCTGTGGTATTAGGACCTAAATATAATCAAGGCACCGTTATTGATGAGACATTTTTGAGCCTACAGTGTGCCTAGCTCTCCATCGAGGGGCTGGGGGTTAGAGGGGAAACAAAAAGAAGGAAGCGGGGCTCTTCCCATTGAAGACTTTGTGGGCTTTGTTCTTATAAGGTAAATCATATCAGCATTTTCCCCTCAGTTCCTTGACAACCTTTGTCTCTTTTTGAATGGTTTCTTCAGAAACCTCAGCTGTAGCCCTAGCTCAACAGTCATAAAAAGGTTGTATGTAAAGTGAAACCATGATCTGCAAGCTTCAAGTTAAAAACAAAAACAAGAAATAATTTTTATTCAATAAGACAGTAACAGGCAACAATTACCAAGAGTTTTACAAAACGTCGTGCTTTCTCCCAATTAATTCCCATAAAAACCTCCCATACGGTACATAGTATGATCCCTAGCTTCGAGATAAGAATACTGAAGCACAGTTAGCCTAAGGCCCCACAGCCAGTAAGTGGTAGAGTTAAAAGGAGGGTTGTGGCCTGAAATGTCTGAGCAATTATCTCAATTCTACTTTGCAATGTAGATACAGCGTAATTGTCTACAGGATCAAGATCATCGAGATAAAAATTTCCCTCTCTGAAATTTTGAATAATACGACAATTAGCACTACAGATATTAACCCTAACTTCCCCCCCAAAGAGTCTGCGTTTTTTGCAAACAACTAACCTGTTCTCTCTATTGCAGGGTGACTCAGGTGGCCCCTTGGTGTGTATGAAGGACAATCGCATGACTCTGGTTGGCGTCATCAGTTGGGGCATTGGCTGTGGGCAGAAAGATGTTCCTGGTATATATACCAAGGTTATTAATTACCTAGACTGGATTCAAAACAATATGCGACTGTGACCAAGGACATCCAGTTCCCTGAAATCATGGGAGACCCTGCTTCCTCCACTACAGAAGACACACTAAGGCGGAGTGCTTCTTTACAGAGCTGAGCCATCACACAGAACAAGTGGATGGCAGGGCAGGGGGAACCCATATAAGAGGGGAGAGGATAGGTTTTAATAGGTACTTCCCATTTTAGAAGTTTTCAGGGGGTAAGATCTGATTTCAGAATATAGTTTGTCAGCCGAGAAGACGGATAAACACCAACCCCTCCTGGAATACCACCGTCTAAGGCAGAAGAGAGGAAGGGAGAGAAGCCCAACCTCCTGATCTGTCACCACGAGCAGCTTTGTAAATGGGACCACAAAGATGAAAGCATGTCTCAATAGTAAAAAAGTAACTAACTAGCGGTTAGTTAGTTACTAACTAACTGGGTATTTATCTTATTTTCCTGTCAAACTCCCAGAAGCGGTCTGCTTCTCCCTCTGACCCTCCTCCCTCTCGTGCTCTCTCTCATTCTCTCTCTCTTCCTTCAGGAAGGAAGGATTGCATTAGAAATGGAATGTCTATTTATAGTCACAAGGAAGCCCAGTGGGGGCCTCCTCGTAAGGGATGGGCTGGCTGGCCAGATCATGTTTCTCAACACCACCTTTTAAATCAAGTATTTGGCTTTTCCCTTTCTCCACTTTACAGCTCTTGGAAGGAAATCTTTTTGTGTACAGTGTAAATCTTTTTTTCTTTATAAACTTTATAATAAAACAGGAGACTTGTATCATTTTAGTAACTGATAAACTAGGCTTTAGTATATTTATATCAATCCGTTTTAGTTTTTACTTTGTTGCCACGCCCCTGTATTATACTGTGCTGAAATAATAAATTCAGATTATTTTTCACATATTTTCCCAAATCAGAGTGGGATAATTTTCTTACACTTGCAGTATCTCACAGCTCATTTATTCTTGTTAGTCATGGTCACATTTTAAAAATCATCTCAAATATTTCCTTTCATTCATTTGGCATATACAGAATACTCACTGCATACAAGGCAATGGGCTAAGTGCTGTAGACAGTGGAAAGGGGGAGGAAGGCAGTTCTCGGTTTGACAGGAAAATAAGATAAATACCCAGGTAGAACAGAGATGGGTCACAAAAACAGCGGAGAGAAACTTTTACTTTTCAGTTGCAGGAAGTATGAGGGAATCTTAAGGGAAAACAGAGGTAGGGCTTTCAAAAATTGGGCGAGATCTGGACTGGTGGGGAGGAGGTGTGGGCAAGGCATCCTTGAGACCGGGAATGTCACTGCATGGAAATACAGAGATCTGGAGAGGAAAAAGGGCGGTGGGAGTATGGGGAAGGATTTTGTACAGGTTGTTGGAAGTGAAGGTCATGAAGAATGTGGGTAGGGGGGGCGCCTGGGTGGCTCAGTCGGTTAAGCGACTGCCTTGGGCTCAGGTCCTGATCCTGGAGTCCCGGGATCGAGTCCTGCATCGGGCTCCCTGCTCAGTGGGGAGTCTGCTTCTCCCTCTGACCCTCCTCCCTCTCGTGCTCTCTCTCATTCTCTCTCTCAAATAAATAAAATCTTAAAAAAAAAAAAAAGGAATGTGGGTAGGAACTTAGATTATGGTGCTTTGAATGCCAAACTGAGTTTTGGACTTAATTCTAGAGGCAACACGGGAGCCACTGGGGCTTGTGGTAAGAGAAGTAATGAACGGAGCATGCCCCGGGGAAGAAGAACGCCGAGGGGGATGGAATGAAAGCAGACTGGGTAGGCAGACCCCGCAGACCACAAGCGCGGTAGTAGGAAGGAGAAGCGAGGGGATACGAACAGAAGCACGACCTTGCTGGCCAGCATAGCAACACCCCGCTGTTGGTCGGCCTAGAAGCTAGTATTGGCCATTTTCTTCCCATTCCATTTTCCTTCCCTGTTCGTCTGAAAGAATTAACTCCCAGACCGTGGGGCGCCTGGCTGCCTCAGTCAGAAGCGCATACAGCTCTTGATCTCGAGGTTGTGAATTCGAGCCCCATGAGGGGTATAGAGATTATTTAAATAAAACTTAAAAAAACCATGAATTCCCAGACCAGCCCACACTAGTATGTTACTTAAAGATGCTGCTTTCTGCAGCTCCTATCATCACTGCCACCCCAGATCCAAGAATAAATCTGCGGGGGCTTGCTGTTGGATATATGCAGCAGTTTCCTGGAGAGGAGAAAAGGTGGTTGCAGTTGTCTCTATCGAAAGGCTGTGAGAACTGCTCAGTTTAGAGGTTCTTAGAAGAAAAGTACATAGTTTTAGCTCACAGAAGAGACTAAAGCCCACGAGCTTGAGTTAGAGGGGAGCAAAACCCAAACTTCCCTGAAATCCTCAAGCCCCCGGAGCAGTTAAATAAATGCAGATCGCAGAAACTGAAGCCACAGATTCCTCCACCTTAGACCTCTCCCACACAAGTTTCCCGTGCAAGTGGCAGGTTGTATTTGAGATAGAAGTGTCCCTCGGCCATTTTAGACAAACACTGCTCCAGGACAATACGCAGGACTCCCAGCGAGCGCATCTCTGGCAGGAATTCAGTGGGTTTTGCCCCATCCCCTTTGCATGACAAGCCTTTCTTCAAAGACCCGGATGAATGACATGAATTGAAGCAGCAAGGCTTCCTAGGATGGAAACGCCAAGTGACAGGCCCCAACATTCCTCTGGGTGAGGTCCCGGCGACCACAGACTGGATGAAGACACAAGAGGCCGCAGACCGAGCTGCAAGGCAGAGTCCCGGCCCCGCAGATTCCTTTGAATTACGTTGAAATACATTCAAAGAACGACATCATTATCCGGTGTGGGTTAGGAAATTTAGGACAAAATGTCTGGAACTAGGATGGCCAGGGAAAGGGTTATAAGGGGGAAATGAAATAGTTCCTTCTCCCCACCTGGTTAATAAAGCAAATAGACCCTAACAGATCTGAAGGACAAGAAAGATTCTTAGGTAGCTGTGCAATACATTTAGTGGGTAAAAACTTAGAGGAACTCCGGGCGCCTGGGTGGCTCAGTTGGTTAAGCGACTGCCTTCGGCTCAAGTCATGATCCTGGAGTCCCAGGATTGAGTCCTGCATCGGGCTCCTTGCTCAGCAGGGAGTCTGCTTCTCCCTCTGACCCTCCCCCCTCTCATGCTCTTTCTTTCTCTCAAATAAATTATTAAAAAAAAAAACTTAGAGAAACTCAGATGATGGAAACTGATACCCTAGAGCTCCCATCTGAGGTCTGGTTATCAAAAAGTGTCATAAATTTTTGGTTTCACGTTTAACTTCAAAAGCCAAAAACTCACCCGATCCCCAGTACTCGGAATCTTGGGGGAAAGTTTAAGAGTTTCAAATTCAATTCTTTTAAAATTCTAACAATTAAAAAAAATTAATCTCATTGCTAGTACCGAGTCACCACCTACTGGCCACAGAAGAAAGTACACGTATTATAAAATGCACCTGGTCACACCACGGCGCAACCAGAACAGCCAGAGCACAGGAAAAGACATGTTAACCACAAAGACAGGTAGGATGGAGTATTCATAAACACCAAACACTAGTTCCTAAACAGAAAAAGCCCTAACGTCTCTTCATGGCCACAAGGGATTTACCAAAGGGTATCAGTACGGATATGGGATGACAACCAGTGTCCATACTTTTATGCAAAGACTGCCCATGACTTATGTTCCATTTCACGCCCAAACTGACAAACCTAAGATCAAGAGTGTGGGGAAAGCACCAGAATAGCCGTTGGCAGCTTTAATGGCTGGTCTTTAATGGGGAAAAATGACTAATCTTCACCTTTGTTCTTATAACCTTAAAAATGACATTGATGCCAACATCCCCTATTTCCAAGGTTAACGAGAATCATACCATACCTAATGGCGTTAGGTCTACTGGTTGAAAAGACAAAAATAGTAAGATCCTCCCGAACTGATTTATTTCTTAGCGCTTCTACCGAGGCCTGCCTGGCATAACACTACTGTTAGTCCCAGTAACAAGACACAGACGACTGGTAAAACTCAACTTTATTACGATTTAAACACAGGAGATACTTCCACACATATTAAACACGTATGGAATCGAACAGCTCAACCAAGACGGCCTGCACTTCTTATGCTGACACCCTGCTGGGTGGTCGCTGTGATGCTCCACTGGGCTCCAGAGGTCTGCTATGCAGGTGATACATTACTTCACATGCTAAGGCCTGGAGGTCCCATACCCTAGATACTTGATTTCTCCTCAAGTTCTTCCCTTGAAATTAGGATGAACTGTCTGGGAGGAAGTATCACAGCTAGATTTACAAACCTAAAAATATCCAGGGACCAAGACTGGTTGTTTTCCTATGACCTAGGAAACCTTAAAATCCTTCAGAGCCCTCAGAAGTAATTCCAAGTATTGTGGAATCATAGGCAGGGCTGTTCCCCTACCCTACCAGGTATGTATGTAGGACATAGTCATTCAGGACAAATTCTGGAGCGATGGGAGTATGAAACACAACTGTTTGTATAGAGCACAATTTATCCCACAGGAAAACCACAAAACAACATTGCTCTGCAGCAAAAACAAGTCCAGGAAGTAGGGATATAAAACTAGCAAAACAAAATTGCTGAAGGATTTGGAAATAGGGCTTTAGAGAAAAATTGTAGGGTTTGGAGAGGTCTTCATTTTTCTCCATGCATTAAGCAGAGCACAATATCACTCCTTAAGCTAGAATAATTTTAAAACCTGTCTTTTATATAAATTTTTAAAGACTCCAGCACTAGTCCAGCACTGACAAGTGTAAATAAGGAGTCACTGGGTTACAGCCACGATGCACTTCATGAGGAAGCAGTTGGTCATCTACACTCCAACACGGTGACACACAAAATCTGGCTGCCCTGGGATTATGGGATTGGCTTTTCTGAAACTGTCCTTGGGTAACAGGAAAAATGGTGAATTCTGCAATGTAAAGTGAATAAACTGTTTTGGGGTGGAAAAGGGGCATTTCAGGCGGCCTCTGCCAGGAAGAGGGCAGGTCACCTTCTCACAGAAGATGACAGACCAAGTGCTAAAGGCAAACAGTAGTTAGTATCTGAAAACTGGTCGGATATCGTCATAGTCTTCAAGGGAAAATCTGATTCTACTGGGGTTTTCCATGTCATCAGTGGACTCAAATTTAAGAAGTTTCCAGTTCCCTTCTAGAAGTACTGATGATTTTATATATATATATATCAAAGTAGAGGGATCAGAAAGAAACCAACTCCACTCTTTTCCTTCCAACCCTCCTTCATGTGGGGCTTGACTACTTCTCCTGCCCCTTTCACTTGAGCCTGTGTCCTCATACCTCTTCAATACTGTTTCCTTTCTTTTCCCTCATAGATCAGATCCTTAACTGGCCTTTCTGTGACTAACATTCATACTCTTCCAAGCTTTCTTTCCTTCTTTCTAATCTTTCTACCTTAAAAAACAAAAAGAAGTCGTTCGTTGGCTTTAGAGCATTAAAGCCAAGCAAGTAACAAATGCTAGTCTTTTTCTATGGTAGCCACGTTAAGAATAGTCAAATATGGCATCAAGTGTCTCCACCCTCCGTCACACATCTCTTCTTGCAGAACTGAGTTGGTGCTGATTGTGTTTCAGTTCTGTCCAGTTCTCCCTGGCGACCCTTCTCTCCCTTGATTAGCTCCATGGCACTGAAGGCTAAGGAAAAAAGGGAGCGGGTGGGTCCAGAAGGGGATACTGACCTAGGAGACAGGCTGATATTTTTTACTTTTAGACAAGTAAGAAATGAAAAAGCGTTCATGACTGTTCTTTTTGCAAAACTCTCCCTTCAGGTTCGAACTTGGAACTTTCCAGCTTTGGTCATGTATTTTATGCCCTTAAAGGGTTTGTACTTTTCTCCATACATATCCAGACGATTCACCTTGAGTCCTGGAAGGAAGGAAGATATGCATTATTCAAAAAGGAGCATGTAGCATGTATGTTTAAACTCATTTTAATTCAGAGGGATCAGTGGGATAGAGACAGTTGTAACAATGAACCAGAAAAATAATAGTAATTGTCCCTTATTTATTTCACTTTTCTAAAGCTCACAGGTTTTTGACTCTTGGTCCATACACCAATAATAAAAACTGCTCCAACATAAAGCTATCCTACTAGAAGACCTGTTTGTAAAGTGGCAAGGGCAGAAAGTTACATGCAGACTGATATGAGGATAAGGAAAGAATAAGACCCTTCTATGTTTTTCTCAAGTTATTGGATGGAATACATGAATAAATAATAAAATTAATGAATAATGAAATAAAATATAACTTAATGATGAATGCTTCCTAAGTATTCTCACTGTACTAAGCAAAACACATTTTATACTGTATAGGGCTTTAAAATTTGTGAAGTGTTTTAAGATGAGTTTATAATTGAAGTGAATGTTAACCACTTAAATTAGACAAGTTCTGTTGATAAAGAAAAATAGGAACTTTATATAAAGCTGAAGTCATCTCCTATCTACCTTATACAGTTGTTCTAAGGATTAAATAATAACATAGATGAAAAGAGCTTAAAACAGTGCCTGGCACATAGTAAATGCCTGGTAGGCAGTAACTATCATCATCACGAGCCTGAGACAGGCACAGACCTCAGCAGGCTGACGTGGGTTCCACATGGTAATAAAAGCAAATATGAAAGTCCTTCTGAATCTGGGGGAAAGGAGGGGAAATTATTCTTCTCAGTTACCAGCTGAGAACGCAGAAGGCTTCCCATCCTGAAAACCTTGGGACTCCAAACTGACAACCCCAGTATGACTCAACACCTGCTTGCCAACACTCCATCTACCCACACTATTTCCTTCTCAACTGTATCTTATATATTGGCAGTCAAATCACTTCAGCCAACTTCAAAGTAAGGATGATGAACTTTCCCCAGAAATGCTAGAGAAGATTTTACTCAAGATTACCTATCAGGTAATGAAACCAAACTCCATAAACAGGGAGCCAGCAGAAGGCATTCTGAGATCTATGTCCTACTGGAGAGAGCCACTTCTGTTCTCATGAGGCCACCTAAGTCGTGAGTCACTCACCAGAAATGGCCAGCTGCTGGATCTTAAACTGCAGATTAATTGTGGGGTTCTCATCTGGCTTGGAAGCTCCAGCCTGAAGACTCATGGTCCCCTTCAAACTTGGTAGCTTTTGGGGATTTATTTTTCCTACATCCCACGACAGCATCTTTAAAGAAAAAGAAAGAAGTTACAGTGGAACCCTTCATCTGAGGTGGTTCAGCTCTAACCTCAGGGCATATGTTCACAGTATTACGAGCTGCCCCTAGAGTGGTTTGAATAGAGAAAACTATTTGTCACCATAAATTATCTCAAGGAGAAAAAGGATGTCCCTTTGATTAAGCTTTCCTTTCAACAAAGTGTAACGTCTATGCGGAGAGCTCCTGCAGAAATACTTCTATTTAATATCAGCAATTTGAAACCTCCTGCTTATTCTCCTCCTACCTTGGTAACTGGGTCAAATGTATGTGTCCCCTGAGATGGAGTGAGGCTCATATTCAGGACCCCTTTGGGCATCTGGCTGGTGACAATCACTCCCTCTATGGTCTTCCCCATAGTCTGCTTCGGTCCCACTGTTATTTCAAAGCGTCCAAGTGAACTACTGTCCCGGAAACTGATGCTATGTTTAACATACACTGGAATTGCCACCAGACTGGAAAAGAGAGACAAAAAACCCATTTCATTACTATACTGGAAAAATGGCAACGTTTTCTTCTTTTAACTGTTTTTGTTTTGTTTTTTTCTTTGCCCCATTGACAGCTTTTCCTTCCTTATCTACTTCTTTACTCCTTATATTAAAAAAAAAAAAAGGCACAGGAAAAACCCCAGTAATTTTCAATTTTTTTCTTTTTGTATTGCTAAGATGCTGTCTAGTAAGTGAACTAACTCTTCCAATGACTCTGAATAATATTAACAAAAACCAAAGGGTATCCTAAGCCTACGATGAGAAAGGCATTAGAGATAAAAATTAGGAGTCACCATATCTATGTGTTTTACTTTATGACATGTGACCAATAATTATCTGTACTTGGGAGAGTACTATTCATACCTCATGACCTTTTATAATATCTTGGGAGTGCTTTTATCAGACTTCCTCTGATCCTCATGAAATCTTATGAGGTATGTATGGTAGGTTGTCATGATAGGACAGAGCGGGAAATAGAGAAATCACAGAGTAATACCAAAGCAATAATAGTTCTTAACATCTATTAAACACTCCTGTATGCCAGTACTATGCTAGATGTTTTATCTCCATTATCTTGTTTAATCCTCCCAATAAGTATGAAGTGGGTACTGCTCCTGTCCTGATTTTATACATAAATAATGATGTCCTTTTACTTCACTAAGATTAAGTAACTTGCCCAAGGTCATATATCATAAGTACTGAAGATGGGGTTTAAATGTAGGCAGTCTGGGCCCAGAGCCTTTGCTCTCAAGCATGCAGATACTTTCCCAATTTATTTATTCCAAATCCCACAGGAAAGTATTGGTGGCTCTGAGGTGTCATGGCTAGAGCTCTTCACTCTGTATTCCTTCTACTACACACCTTATACTAAGGGCTTCTAAAGTCCTTTGAAGAGATATTAAAGAGAATGTTCAAGACCAAAAATGACTGCCTTTTATGATTTTTCATAGCATAGTTTAATGCTCTTTTGGGTCATGGGGATTGAATACAGGTGTACTCAGATTCCAATTTGAGGAAAAAAGTGTTCTTGTTTAGACATACAGTAAAAAAACAGCAGCAGCAAACTTAATGAGCACCAACTTTGTGTTAAGCACTATTTAGACTGTTTTATTTAATCTTCAAACAAGGCCCATTTTTTTGTTTTCCACTTACAGATAAGAAAACAGATACAGAAAGGTTAAACAACTCACCTGAGGTTACCCAATTAGTAAGTACAGAAACTGGAATTTGAACCCAGGTAACTCTAGAGCCTGAGTCCTTAATCACTACGGATACTGTCTCCACATATACACATATACACAGATTCTATTCTTAATTATAAGGGCTGCTTACTTCTGTGCACTGACATGGTAAGAGAGCAGGCGAAAGTTTCCATCAGGAGGGATGAAGGAGAGAATACGCTCAGATTCCCAGCGCTTGAAACGAACACAAGGATGGAAACTGACATCATCCAACAACCTAGGATTCTGTAGTCACCAGGCAAGGAAAAGCAATTAGTAGGAATTAAACACCCATATTGCTTTTGGGAAACTCATTCAGATGCTGTCTTTATTTAAACGTGCACGCACACACACACACCCACACACACAAATTCTGTATCTACTTATAGAAAATTCAAGCCTGATACAAGCTTTGTGGCTGTCCTTAATTATTTTTTCTTTCTTTTTTTTTTTTTAAGTAGGCTCCACACCCGGCGTGGAACCCAGTGTGGGGCTGAAACTCACGACCCTGAGATCAAGACTTCAGCTGAGTTCGAGAGTTGGACACTTAACTGATTAACCACTCAGGCACCCCTGTCTTTAAGTATTTCTTACTGTTCCATTCCATTCTCACCACTGTCTTTCCAGAAGCAATTAATTTACCATCGTGAGATCTGAACCTGTGGTTTAGGATTTTACCATGAAGGATAGCGTAAGGTCTGGCATTCCAGTCAGCTTGACGCAGGCATCAATGACCCCCTGGATCTCAGCAGTAATTGTGGAACCTGAGCCAGGAACAAGACAAAAAAGAAGGTAAGAGGTTATTCAACACTCCTGTCTTTCCCAACCAACTTATTTCCTCCCTACCACCTTAATCTTCTCTTTTCTTCCCCAACTTTTGTCTTCTCCCTGCCCCCCTTCCTTCCTTCCTTCTGTCCATCTATTCATCTACCCAATGCATTGGTCCATCCTTCTACACATTTATCAACTGCATATCAAATATGAGACACTATGATGAAGCAATGGGGATAAAAGATTAATGGGACAGTTATTAGCTTAAAGAAGTTTTCCATCTAGTACCAGAATCAAACAGGGTATCATCATAACCAATGGTTCAGAAAACCTCACAGCAGCAACTGCTCTCCCTACGGTCACCAATCAAATGGACACTTTTCATCTTTATCCTATAGAAGTTCTCTGTAGCATGTCATTGTTGACCACTTCTCCCTTTGTAAAACCCTCCTTTCTCCTAACTTCACTTAGTTTTCTATTTTTCTAGCTCCTCTTCCTCAGTGCTTTCTGCGGGTTTCCCTTTTTTTTTTAAATTTTTTATTGTGATGTTAATCACCATACATTACATTAGTTCTTGATGTAGTGTTCCATGATTCATTGTTTGTGCATAACACCCAGTGCTCCATGCAGAATGTGCCCTCTTTAATACCCATCACCAGGCTAACCCATCCCCCCACCCTCCTCCCCTCTAGAACCCTCAGTTTGTTTTTCAGAGTCCATCGTCTCTCATGGTTCGTCTCTCCCTCCGACTTACTCCCCTTCATTCTTCCCCTCCTGCTATCTTCTTTTTTTTTCTTAACATTTGTTGCATTATTTGTTTCAGAAGTACAGATCTGTGATTCAACAGTCTTGCACAATTCACAGCGCTCACCATAGCACATACCCTCCCCATGTCTATCACCCAGCCACCCCATCCCTCCCACCCCCCACCACTCCAGCAACCCTCAGTTTGTTTCCTGAGATTAAGAATTCCTCATATCAGTGAGGTCATATGATACATGTCTTTCTCTGATTGACTATTTCACTCAGCATAACACCCTCCAGTTCCATCCACGTTGTTGCAAATGGCAAGATCTCATTCCTTTTGATGGCTGCATAATATTCCATTGTGTATATATACTACATCTTCTTTTATCCATTCATCTGTCGATGGACATCTTGGCTTTTTCCACAGTTTGGCTATTGTGGACATTGCTGCTATAAACATTGGGGTGCACGTACCCCTTCGGATCCCTACATTTGCATCTTTGCGGTAAATACCCAGTAGTGCAATTGCTGGATCGTATGGTAGCTCTATTTTCAACTGTTTGAGGAACCTCCATACTGTTTTCCAGAGAAGTTGCACCAGCTTGCATTCCCACCAACAGTGTAGGATGGTTCCCCTTTCTTGCAGGTTTCCCTTTCTTTGCACAGCTTTGAAATGCCCATGCTTTTTCACAATTCTGAACTTCTCTTTTCTTTCACTCAACACGGTCTCCTTGAGCTTCTCCCACAGGTTGCCTTTTCACTGTGTTGACTGTTTTTGTTGTGCAGAAACTTTTTAGTTTGATGCAATCCTAATTGTCTATTTTTGCTTTTGGTGTCATATCCAAAAAAGCCATTATCCAGACCAGTGTCAAGAAGCTCTTTCCCTGTGTCTTCTTCTAGCAGTTTTATGATTTCACATTTTATATTTAAGTCTTTAATCCATTTTGAGTTTTGTTTTTTGTATTTTTTTTCGAGTGAGATAAGGGTCCAATTTTATTCTTCCACAAGTGGATATTCTGTTTCCCCAGCATCATTTAATGAAGAGACTATCCTTTCCCCATGGTGTAATCTTGGTTCTCTTGTCAAAGATCAGTTGACTGTAAATGCGTGGTTTTATTTCTGAACTCTCTATTCTGTTTCATTGGCCTATGTGTCTGTTTTTATGCCAGTATAATAGTTTTGATTACTGTAGCTTTGTAATATATTTTGAAAACAGGAAGTATGAAGTCCCCAGCTTTGTTGTTCTTGCTCAAGATTGCTTCGGCTATTTGGGGTCTTTTGTGGTTCCATATGAATTTTAGCATTGTTTTTTCTATTTCTGTAAAGAGTACCATTGGGATTTTGATGGGGATTACACTGAATCTATAGATTGCTTTGGGTAATATGGACTTTTTAAAAAGTTTTTAAAATTTTTTATTTTTGTTTGAAAGGGAGGGAGAAGGAGGGGCAGAGGGAGAGAATCTTTTTTTTTAAGATTTATTTGAGAGCAAGCATGAGCGCGGGGCGGGGGGGTGGAGAGGGGCAGAAGGAGAGGGAGAAGCAGACTCCCTGCTGAGCAGGGAGCCTGACGTGGGGCTCGATCCCAGGACCCTGAGATCATGACCTGAGCTGAAGGCAGACACTTAATCGACTGAACCACCCAGGTGCCTCCGAACATTTTAGTAATATTAATTCTTCCACTCTGTGAACACAGGATGCCTTCCCATTTATTTGTGTCTTCTTTAATTTCCTTCATCAATGTTTTATAATTTTCTGAGTACGAGTTTGGTTAAGTTTATTCCTAACTATTTTATTCTTTTTGGTGCTTTTGTAAATGGGACTGTTTTCTTAATTTTCTTTTAGCATAGTTCATTGTTTGTATTTAGAAATGCTACTGTTTTTTATGTTGATTATATACCTTGCAACTTTACAGAATTTGTTTATTAGTTCTAACAGTTTTCTGTTGAATCTTTAGGGGGTCCCTACAAATATTATCATGTCATCTGCATCATAATATTTAAGTCTATTCCCAGTACCTAGCACAGTACTTGACACAAAGTAGGCACTAAATTAAAATGAATGATCTTGAATGGGGGATAATTCTGATACTAGCAAGCATTGTATGAAGGAGACTCTTTCTACTTTCTAGTTCTGAAAACAGATTAAAAGCACCTACCTGATTTATCAATGATAGCATCAATCTCTTCAATCACATCAAAATAGGCCTCATTGTTGGTGTACTTCACCCCAGTTCTTCGCCAGGGCACCACTGACAGCTGTCCAGTAGGAAGCTGGTCACCCACATTGGTGCTTCCTAGATAATGAATATGACTGTAATTCCAATTGGATAATTAGATGTAACCAATTATCTAATAATTGGTAGAACACTTCCCTAGAAGTTTCTATGTTCCCATTATTCATGCACTCAATTGGAGAATTAAAAAAAAAAAAAAGATAAGAGTTTTCTCAACTTTTGTCTGGGTAACGGAGTCTATTCTAAAAACTTCTTTCCATCTGGTCTGCTTCTTTGAGCAGAATAAAGGTTAAAAAGTTACCTGAGAAACAGATATCATATTTTGGTTTTGAAAGAAACTTGAACTTGGTCTCTCAAATTTCACCATAGCTTGTAGCTTAAATAATGTACTGGCTTTCAGCAGGGATGGTGATCTACATATTAATATAAAATTTTTATGGGTAAAAACAGTATTCTACTTTAAGGTAGGTTCTTAAGTACATTTATGCTAGTTATTAAAATGCACACATTTTACTACTAGTAATACTGAATCTTAGGAAAGGAATACAAATTAGGTCTTTCCCTATCTATAAGAGTTTTAAATCAATTCCCTGTTCCCCCCCCAAGAATCAAAAATATTTTTTAATCCAAAAGTTCTATGCTATAATTCTGAAATATTATAACTAAAGTCTATTTCCTTCTTTTGTAACCTGGATGTTTTTAATCTAAAGAAAGAAACATTAAACACACACATATATTCAGCATGTTTGCAAAGCAGTTCAGCTTTTCAAAAATGACTCTCAGGTACCTTCTTCTAGATTTAAGAGAGATTCAGAAAAATGACTCCATAGTATTCATAAATGATTCAGGCACTAACAAAGAACTTAAGAGTTAAATGAACCCAGAATATTGAAAAACCCAACCAATGTGTTTTCTTAAAAAGAGGCACCACATATTAAAATATGTCATCAAGCTATAATAATTAAAGCAGTATGATAAGGCAGGAAGCCTAAAAACAAAGAATCCACAGTGGCTTAGTACATGATAAAAATATTTTAAAACAGGGAATTAACAAATGGCGCTAGGATAGCTGGTAGACAGTTTTGGAGAAATAAACGTGGAGCCTTACTTTACATTGTATACATGTATACATTGTATACCAAGATAATTTCCAAATGGATTAAAGAATTAAGTCCAAAATGAAACCATAAAAGAAAAAAGAAGACCTTCCCTTCTCTGAGATCAAAAAGACATTTCCCTATGTTTTCTTCTAACAATTATAAGGTTTGTATTTAACTCTTTGACCTTGCTAGGATTTATTTTGTGTACAGAATGGGTAGAGGGACTTCATTTTGTTCTTATCAAAGCTGATTGTCCTAATATAATATGGTACCGTGGCCCCCTGGCCCACTGATTTGATATATGATCTATGTATATCAAATTCCTACAAAAGCAAGGGTCTGTTTCTGAACTTTTTCTTTCCTTTTTTTTTTTTGTTTAAAGATCTTACTTATTTATTTGACAGAGATGGGGAGAGAGTGCAGCAGAGGGAGAAGCAGACTCCCGATGCTGAGCAGGTAGCCCAATGCAGGACTCTGTCCCAAGACCCTGGAATCATGACCTGAGCCGAAGGCAGACGCTTAACCAACTAAGCCACCCAGGCACCCTGTTTCTGAACTTTCTACCTTATCGCAATCATCTATTTGTCTATTACTGGGCCAATACTACGTTTTAAAAATTACCAAAACTTATCTTGTATCTATCCGATGGGACACATTTTCTCTCCTGTTCTCGATCTTTTTAAAAAATATTTATTTTGGGGGCGTCTGGGTCAGTTAAGCATCTGCCTTCAGGTCATGATCTCAGGGTCCTGGGATCGAGCCCCATATCAGGCTCTCTGCTCAGTGGGGAGCCTGCTTCTCGCGCCCCCTCTGCTGCTCCCCTTGCTTATGCTTGCTGTCCGATGAATAAATAAAATCTTTAAAAAAATGAAATAAAATAAAACATATATATTTATTTTCAAAACTGTCTTGGCTTTTAGAGCTTATCTATGAGTTTTTGTCTCCTGTACCATATGAACTTAATATAGCTTGATATTTGACAAGATAAATCTGTCCAACAGCTTTGTAATTCTTTTTCAAAATATTCCCAGGGATTCTTGCGTATTCATACTTCTTAAAAATTATCTTTCAATCAGTTTGTCAAATGCCGTGCAACCCTTGTTTATATATTAAGCAAGAGCCAAAATGGCATGCAAACCCGTTTATATATTAAGCAAGAGCCAAAATATAAAAGCTGAATGAAGCAGAATGATTAATATGATTAAATCAGAATTAAATTGTGGCTAAACACACTGTAAACAATGCTAAATGACAAGTCTCACATAGACTGTGAGAAAATATCTGTAACAGGGGATCAAAAATGAACTACAAACTACCATGTATATTTCCAGTATTTCCAACATACACGATAGTTTAATGTCCTTAAATAAAAGGAATTCTTTTTCCTTTTTTTTTTTTTTTTTAAGTAGGCTCCACACCCAGCATGGAGCCCAGTTTGGAACTTGAACTCACAACCCTGAGATCAAGACCTGAGCTGAGATCAAGAGCCAGACGCTTAACCAACTAAGCCACCCAGGTGTCCTGAAAGGAATTCTTTTAAATTAGTATGAAAAAAGAACCATATTTCAACAACAAAAGAAAAACTGGGCAAAGGACACACAACTAGGTAATTCACAATAGAGGAAGAACCGTCAATGAATACTCGAAGGGTTTTAACTTCCTTAGTAATAAAAAATGAGGACATACATAAGATAAGACTAAACTGGGGCGCCTGGGTGGCTTAGTCAGTTAAGCGTCTGCCTTTGGCTCAAGTCATGATCCCAGGGTCCTAGGATCAAGCCCTGCATTGGGCTCCCTGCTCAGTGGGAAGCCTAATTCTCCCTCTCCTGCTCCCCCTGCTTGTGTGCTCGCTCTGCTCTCTCCCTGTCAAATAAATAAGTAAAATCTTTAAAAAAAAAAAGATATGACTAAACTATTAAATTGCCAAAGTTTTGAAAAAATTAATAATAATAGTAGGGTTGGCTAGGATGCATAGAAACTGCTACTGAAAGTATAAATTTTCTGAAGGGCAATTTGGCACAATGCATTAAAGTCCTTAAAATGAGCATACCCTTTGATCTAGTACTTCCATTGCTAGTACTGAAAACAAATCATCCTACATGTACACAAAGATTTAAGTATAAGAATGTTAATTCCTTGTTATTTAAAAGAACAAAAAATCAGAAACATCAGAAACACAGACCGAGTAAATAACTTAAGGTCTATTCCATATGGAAGAAAATTATAAAGTCACTAAAAATCATGTAGAAGAAAATGTATCATAATGGGATAATATTCACAAAATACTGATGAAAGTTATAAAAAAATATACAAGCATTGTTTTTTAAAAATTCTGTGCATCTATTCATTATTCATCTGTCTAGAAAATACAAAAAGTATGTCAAAACTGTGGCGGGATTAAGATATTTTTGGGACGCCTGGGTGGCTCCGTAAATTAAGTGTCTGCCTTCCGCTTCGGTGGTGATCCAAGGGTTCCAGGATCGAGCCCCGCATCGGGGTCCCTGCTCAGCAAGAGCCTGCTTCTCCCTCTGCCTGCCCCTTCCCCCTGCTTGTGTTCCCTCTCTCGCTGACAAATAAGTAAAATCTTTTTTAAAAGAAAGTTATTTTCAAGTTCTTTGTGCTTTTCTGTATCTCTGACATTTCTATAATAATCAAGTGTTTCTTCTGTAATCAGAAAAAAAAAAAACCTCTTTTTAAGGGAGCACTCTTTATTCTGTCATTGAAATCAGGGTATTTTCTACATAACAAAGACACATTTCAGGTCATAATCAAAGACTATAATGAGCAAAATTAAAGCACCTGGACATCTGAGAGCCCCAAAGACAAGCACTCAAAACAATGCACAACGCGGGAGGAAGGCACACTCAGGACGGCAGCTCTCTGTGGGTTTCCCCTTTCTCCATACCTGTTATGGTGTTGACGACCGTTCGAAGGATAGTGGGAGGCTTTATCAGTTCTTTGAGGATGTTTGACTCAGTAGCCAATGGAAACCCATTGTCAAGCATCTCTTCTAGTACCTCATAAACCACAACCACATTGTCTTTGATCACTGGCTCTGAACAGACTCCAAAATAATCCTGATGAAAACACAATATATATAATGTAAATCATTCAGAGACTGTAATAAAAAGAATCGTCCTAGGGAATAAGGATCTAGGCCTGTCCATGTGTTTACACAGTGCTTCTGGGATATTCTTCTACAATAAGGGAATGAAGCATAACCATAGTTCTCTTAAGCAGAGGCAGAAAGAACACTGGACTGGCTTATAGTACTAGTGTCATTACTAACTTCTTTTATAAATTAAGAGAAAGTCATTTAACCTTTTTGGGTTAGTTTCTTCAACTAGACAAAACTGAATCTAGACTATCATACGTGCTTAAGAACAAGAATTTGAAAGAACTATGCAAAATAATAATACTTGATATGACACAGATTGGACCCTAAAATCTTTTTAACCCTTTCTATTGTATTATTCCTTAACATTCATGCAGCATTCATGAGAGGGAAATAAAATGAAAGGAGGGAGATGAACTAGCACACTAGAAAATCTCTTTGGATCATCTCTACACTAAGATGCTAGGATTCTAAGGCTTTGTCCTTTTACTAATAAAGACTGAGATACTAAATGATCCAGGTTGTGGCAAAAACACTGGATTCCAAATCAGACCTGCGTGGTAACCTTATTGTCACTTACTAGAAAAGTCATGCTAATTCGGGTTTTGATTTTTCTTTTAATAGTATAATTAGGATAATACCACTGGATGCACAGGGATGTTTTAAGAACTAAGCATGACTGATTAAATGATAGTATGTGTGAAAGTGCTTTGTAAACAAAAAGTACTTTATCAAATGTGATGCATGATGATTAAAAGAAAAATGCTCGTAGTCATTTGATATGCCCCTTCTAGCAACATCAGTCACATCTTTTCCAGGACCTCTGAGATGGTCATACAACCCTCGTTGAATTCATCCACTGAAGGGAAATTCACCCTTTTGAGAAAGCCCGTTCTATTCATGGAAAGCTCTGATTATTAGAAAGTTCTTTCTTTTGCTAGACTGAAATTTGCTTCCTAGATTTGCCTTACAGAACAAATTTACATAACAGCCCCGCAGTTATTTGAAGACAGCTGCAAGCTTTCACTTCCATTTTTTTTCTCCCACCCAAACTGTTTGATCCTTCCACTGTTCATGCTGTGGTATGGTTTCTAGATTGTTCCACAACCTTGCCATTTCTTTGAATACGCTCTAGTTTCCCAATATGCTCCTAAAATCATGACATCCATAACTGAACAGACTACAGCTGTGATCTAAATTACATCAGATAATGGCAAATATCAGAGACATTCCAATATCCAAGAACACTTAAGAGTCAGGAATGTGTTTCTAAAACAAGACTTCTTCTTTAAAAACAAGGATTTAAGGGGGGGAAAAAGTAACACATTTCCTTCCCAAGAGTGCTTTTCTTTTGAAAAATAAATAAGACACCTCACGAGATTTTATAAATCAGACATAATGTGAACTGAGTCACTGGAAAGAATACCTATAAGTATGACAAATTGCTATAGCAAAAGCGTTTGCAATTCTACAGCTGGAACTCCTCCATCATATTCCAGTACTAAAAAAATAATGCAGCCAGAGAGGAGACATTAAAATCAGGGTATGTCCATTTGCTTTTAACAAATCCTTCAAAAACGACAAGCTCTGAAGTCCCAGACTTCCAAACTAGCGACTTGACTGTTATCCCAAATTCCTCTGTGGTTTCCACTAGATTAAGCAACCTTTCTCACTTCCTGTCTTGTAATAAATTACATAATATTGGTATGAAGCAAATGCTGGGTTTCACCAATGGGACTGTTAATCTTAGAATGGGGTAAAATATCATATGTGGAAATCATACTAAGGCCCAACAAGGGTAGTTTAAGGTCATAATACTGGGTTGTTCTACTTTTAGTTCGTCCACATACTGGGATTTACAATTCCCAAGTTTTTACTGTGGGAACCAACTGGTATGCCACATGAGAACTGGAAACCCAGAATCGTGCTACCAGCAAGTATTGGTGGGAAAAAAATTATGAAATATATGCTGTTCTAGACATGTGATACAGATATGACTGCAAATGAAAGGGCTCTTTGACTTGTTTTTTAATTTCATCGTCATATCGGAGTCATTCTCTTCTCTAATTCCACAATTTCTGTATTCATATGACCAATTCCAGACTTCACATGACACAGAAGTTAAACCAAAGGGTCCTTGCTTCTCACTTACTGTCTGAGTTATGCAAATAACTGTAACACTTAGAATTTGAGCAATTCTTTTAGGGGGAAGGATCCCACTGTTTGAATTCAGAGTCTGGACAGCCTAAAATCCTCTGCTATAAATGGTGCTGACATCCTGGTATAACTGACTTATACTTCCCCTACACCCTGCTCCCCCAAGATCTTCAAATCTATTCCTGAAAAACTCAAAGTGAAAACCGTGTCTTGTAAAATGTGTCACTTAAATTCTTTACAGGAACAGAAGATTTTCCAATCTTGTTTGCAACAAGAGTTCATCACTGACACGCTGTGGATAAGCACCCCAAACCCAAGATGAAGTTTGGGTTCACAAATTACTCCTGCCAAGGAGAGTGAAATAAGCATTACTTAGCTTTTTCCTAACTTTTGAAAATATACGTATCTTTACACACTCATCACTTTTTGAGGCAACTCAAAGCAACATAGTTGACAATGGCTAGCATCAAGTCCACTAAAACAAAACAAAAACCCAAAATTAAATTCCTCTGATTTATGAACAAAAAGTAGGGCAATTCCAATCTCCAGAACTAAAATGACTGTATACAATCATACCAAGTAGAGTGGCTTTCTTATGCAACAGGTTCAAAGGTACTCAATTTGTCATATCAGATCAGCCAATTCAATAAACAGAAACAAGAATCTTATCAGACGGGAGAGGAAGTGAGCAATGTCAGTTGTGATTTTTTTAAAAAGTTCCTTAATTAAAGCTGAATACAATGGAAAAAGAACCGTAAAGACACTTTATAATTTACATGTACGAGCCTCCTCACATTCACGCACCTGAAATGTGTCCACTACTCGGTGAAGGAACTCAATAACAAACAGAGGTGGGACCTCTGTCTGGATCACAGCCACAAAAAAGATCTTGTGACGGTAAACACTTAAGAGATAGTGGTGAGGGGTAGGGATAACTGGAGGTACGTTTTCTGCCTCAGTCGCTCTCTCTTGCGCCTCAAAAAAGTAATCACAAACAGAACGGCTGACCACACTTTTCCAATGTTTTTCCAGGAAAATATCTCCTGAGGAGTTGATCAAGAAGAGGCTATGAATCATGGTGGCGATTGTCAGTGAGAGAGGAAAGTCTTCTTTGGTCTGAAAGCCTCAGAACTGCCAATTTTCAATCCTAAAAATAAAAGAAGGCATGGTCAATTCCACTCAATCAAAACACTGTACCCATCCTTCAAGAGCAGACTCAAGTCCTCCTCTACTGTAGGAATCTGAAGTATCCCTCCCTAGAATTCCTAAGGATAATTATCAGCCATTCTGTTTGCCAATCATCTACTGCCCGGTTATCTTTACTACTGCCTTAATTATAACCATTTAGAATTCTACTTAATTTTTGGATGTCTGTTTTCTCAACTGGACTGGAAGCCCCTTGAGAAAAAAGACCAGGCCTTACCGTTTCTTATTGCCTCATTGCAGTGCTCCCCACACAGAAGAGAGTTTCAAAGAATATTGATGAGTTTCATGTATTTAGCCACAACTCACACATACATAAGAAATGCTTATGGTTGTCCACAGTCTCATATGGCAGCCATTAGCTAAATGCCGCCATTAAGCACTTGAAATGTGTCTGGTCTGAACTGAGATGTGCTGTAAGTATAAGTACACACCAGACTCACCAGACTTTGAAGGTCTTGTATTAAAAATGGAATCTTAGATACCAATAATTTAATAGATTAATATTAACTCAATATTGATATTTTGATATATCAGGTTAAATAAAATATACTAAAATTAATTTAACCTTGTTTTTAAAGGTTTTATTTATTTGACAGAGAGAGAAAGAGCACAAGCAGGGGGAGCCGCAGGCAGTGGGAGAAGCAGGCTCCCTGCTGAGCAAGGAGCCCTTTGTGGGACTCAATCTCAGGACCCTGGGATCATGACCTGAGCTGAAGGCAGATGCTTAACCCACTGAGCCATCCAGGCGCCCCTAATTTAACCTTTTTAAAAAATGTGGTTACTAGAAAAATGTAAAATTACATATCTGGTTCGCATTATATATCTATTGAGCAGCGTTGGTCCACGGATGGAAAGCCATCACTGTGGTCTTCATTCAGTCAGTGAGACCCCATTCTCTGAGTACTTGTTATGAACAAGGTTCTGCATTGACTGCCCTAAAAAAATCTCTCTGGGGGATACCCAAGGTCTCTCAGGCGGCAGCATCTCTATGGTGCCTGTCCCCAGTATGTGGCGCCCGCGCTGGACCCCAGGTGTGGGGAATGACCCCATTCCACGAGCTGGCTGCGAACTGGCCCAGGTGGTCAAACAGCAAAGGCCTGTCGTACCAAGTGCCCCAGGGCAAGCTTAATCCCTCTCTCCGCGGACGAGGCAGCAGAAGGGAGGGGAAGAGGTGGGTAACCAGGCTGCGGAGGAGGAGAGGCGGCTGCTAAAGTGGGTTATTTTTGCGCTGGTCCCAGCCCAGCTGCCTGCGAGCAAAAGATGATGGAGGCCGTTTAGGGCGGGGGTGGTGGCGGTGGGGCATTTAAGGTGTGCGCACGTTCAAGCGATGAAAAAGGTCGCCAGAATGCACATGTGCGTTGCCGTGGCAACAGTGTCCCCTCCTCCCTCAACCACTGGCCACCTCGCCAGCCCGGTACTCGGTCCCTCAGCTCTCCCCGCCGCATCCTGTATCTCGGAGGGTCAATCCCACGGCAACCCGTAACTCTGAACCTGCCCCGCGCGCCGGGCCCGGACCCTCGCGCGTCCCAGTCCCCAACCCCCAATCCCCAGACCCCAGCCGGGAGCGTGCACGCGCTGCCCCCAACCCGGCCCCGGGTCGCGAGCCCTTCTCACCCAGCCTCGCTCTTCTCAGCACCCACCGTTCCGAAGCGCAGACAGGCACCGCCCCCCGGCCGTCCCCCGCACGCGCGCCGGCGGCCGCTCACCTGCTGATTGGCTGGCCCGTGGGCCTCACGCCAGCACCGCCCACGACAGAGATCTTAAAGCCTCTGATTGGATGTCAGTGATCCACTTCTCCCCTCTGATTGATCGCTGTCCGCCAGTCACATTCTTCTCGGCTTTGAGCCCCCAATTGGCCCTTGTTGAGGCTTCGGTAATCTCCAATTGGTGCAGTTCTGTGGCTCCGAGCCCTGATTGGCTGTCGTGAACAATCTGAGGGCCGCCTGGCCCTTAGTCATCCAGTCACAAAAGGGTGGCTGCTGCCGCCACCTGCGTAACCCTGGAATGTACCTCGAGGGGGATGCTAAAAAGTGTGATTTCCAGGGCACATTTGTCAAATAGCATATCATGGGTAACAAAGCAGTAATAACTACTTTCCGTTAGATAAATGCATTTAAAAAGAGACACGATGCCTTTTCATTGATGTGCATCGGGGGAAGTAAAGGTGATTGGCTGTATAACGTCTTATCGAGAGCTCTGGACTTGGATTCAGGAGGCCTCTTCCAGCCCCAGCTAGACCACCACCTGCTTGACCTTGGACAAGGCACTTAATCTTTCAGAATCTCAGTTCCCAGATCTGAAAATGAGGTAGTTGGGCAGGTCTCTCTGCAAATTGCATTGGAGTTCTAATGACTTTGATAATACATTTTAAGTGATTCAAATCATTGTGATCCAGAGAGTCATGAAGTAGAAGTCAGACAAGGTTCACCTTTAGTTAAACTAAAAATTAATCATTAAATAAGATGAGGTATGGGAAGGTGCCTGGCACATTGCATGTGTTCGATAAAATGGCAAACTAGTGCTAATGGTATTAATGCTGATCTAGACCACAAGGCTGTCACCCTGCTCCAGCTTTAGTTTTCACTTCGGTGAAAGGAAGCTTGAGTGGCAACTCCTCCATATGGAAGGCCATGATAAACGTATATTAAAGGTGGTATGGATTGTTCTTTGACATACTTGCTAAGGACAGATAGTTGGCTAATTTTTAAATAAGCAAAAGAGAAAGTCCAAAATTAAAATGGCTGAATGATGTGGCATCGTATAAGCTTAGGGGCTCTGGTGCCAGACTGCCTGCATTTTAATCCTGATCCAACACTTGCCAGCTCTGTGACCTTGAGAAAGTACTTTAACTTCCCTAAATTTCAAGTTCCTCCCTTCTCAGATAAGGGCACTAAGAGTACTAAGAGTACCGACTGCACAGAGTTGTGAGCACTGAGTTAGAAAAGTGTTAGCGATTGTTACCACCTAAGAAGCAGCACAAGATGCAATTGCACATGGTTACTAAGCAATGTGTGTCAAAGGTGCAGAAATGCAATCACTGCTGTGGGCCTTTCTCATTCGTTGCATTAATGTTTACTGAGAGCCTCCTATGTATCAAGCCCTGTGCGGGGGATGCTGCAATGACTGCCATCACAGGCATAGTGTCTGTTGTCACAGACGCTAGCCGAGAAGACAAATGAGAAGCAAGTAATTACAAAGCATTGTGATGAGCAAGGAGCACACGGCGGGGGGGGCAATGTTTGCTGGAGGAGGGGGCTGACCTAGAGTCAGGGAAGTCCTAAACTGAAACCTTAGAGATGAACGTAGATTCCTCAAATAAAAGGGTGGAAGGACAAAGACAAGATTACATGTGGAAAGCTCTAAAGATGAGAGAATTAAGTATAGCTGAGTTAGAATCGGAGAAAGAGTGCAGGGAGACTAGAGTAGGAAGATACATGGGAGCCAGGTGGTTGTGAGCTTAATAATTGTTTGTGTATATTGCTTATAAAATGATATATAGTAATATATACTGTAATTGTAATTACATAATTATAATGTATAATAACAATTATATATACAGAGCATATATATATATATATATATACACACACACACATAAAAACACTGTGTGGCATGCACTGTCCATTTATTCCATAGATATTTAGTGAACCCTACTATGTACCATCACTGTCTGGTGTTTGGATGCATAACACCAGTGAACATAAAACAAAAATCCTTGCTCTAGTGGAGCTTACATTCTAGTGGAGAAGACAAACAATAATCAATAAATACAATAAGTAAAGTATATAGTATGTTCGATGTAAGTGCAGTGGAAAAAAAACAGAAGGGAGATCAGGAGTGTCATAGAACTGGAGGAAAAGCTATAGTTTTTAAAAGGGTAGTGAGAGTATGTCTCGTTGAGAAAAGACATTTGAGCAAAGACTTGAAGGAGAAGGAGCTAGCTATATAGGGATATCTGGGGGAAGAGCATTCCAGTAAAGGGAATAGGCAGCGCAAAGGCCTTAAGACCAGAGCATGCTTGAGGAGTCCCAGGAAGAGTAAGGGTTCTACTGGAGTAGAATGAGCAAGGGGTAAAGTAGGAGATGAGGTTACAAAATGGAGGCTGGGGACTTGACTACATAAGATCTTAAAATCTGTCGTAAAGATTTTGGCTTGTAGTGGCTGTGAAATGGGAAGCCAATGGAGGCTCTGAGAAAGGAGTGAAAGCATCTGATTTATCAATCTGCTGGCCTGAGAAGAGAATGTGGACAGGCCAGGGTGGAAGGAGACCAGTCAGGAGGTTGCTGTAGTAATCTAGGTGAGAGATGATGGGGCTTGGTCCAGGTGTAGGCACAGATGTTGGAATGAGGAGTCAGATTCTGTGTACAGCTTGAAAAAGGAGCCAGCTGGATTTCCAGGTCAATGGGATGTGAGGAGTGAGAACAAGAGAAAAGTGAAGGGCAACTGAGCCCGAGCATCTGGAAAGACAGTTCCAGCAACTGAGATTAAAAGGACTTTCCGCAGAGGAAGTTTGAATGAAAAAAATTAGGAGTTCAGCCTTGGACATATTAAATTTAATATAGCTATTAGCCATCAAGTGGCCATGTTGAGAAGGCAGCTGGATATATATGAGTCCAGGCTTTAGGAGACAGGTCTGAGCTGGAGATGCACATTTGGGAGTTATCAGGATGTGGATATTAAAGCCATGAGTCCAGCTGAGATGACTAAGGGAATGAGCATGGAGAAAAGGACCAGAGTCCAGCGGCACTCCAAATTTAAAGGTTCACAGAGGAGAGGAAGATCCAGATTTATATAGTCTTCCCAACTACCCTAAAATGAACTACTGTTATGATCCCCTTTTGATAGATGAGAAAACTGCAATGAGTGCTTAGGTAACCTGCCAAAGGTCCAGTAAGTAGGTAAGTAACACAGCTGGAGTTCACGCACACAGCAAGATCTAAGCGGTCTGGTCTGGCACAGACTGCATGCCTCCTGCCTCTCTCAGAAGCCCAGGGCAGGAGACCCAGCGAAGAAATGTTAAGCAGGAGAGTGAAATGCTTTCAGATTTAAATTTTGGAGAGACCAGGCATGGGGAATGGATTGAAGAAGGCCAAGCTTGGGGGTAGGAAGATCATTTAGACTACTGCAGTAATCCACATGAGAGATGCTAGTGACTTCAACCAGCATGAGGGATTGGAGAAGTTAGTGGACAAATTCCAGAGGTGTCTGTTTAGAGGTAGAAAGAAGGGGATTAATTAGAAAGTAGTAAGGAAGAATGAGGAATCCAGGGTTGTTCATAGTTTCTGATTTGGGCAGCTGTATGAATGGATGTGTCATTTGTTGAACTGGGGATCACTGGAAGAGAACCACATTGAGGGGAGGGAGAGGCGGCTGAATTTATTCATAGCAATGCCAAGGGTCATGTCCAAATTCAACACTCAAATATTTTTTTAATTTAATCAAATATCATAGAATCTGGGAGCTCATAGGGTATCTTGTCATGGTATTAAGAGGGGCCATAGGAAACCACTGACAAATGGCAAGTCCATTTTATGCATAAAAATCTCTGGGAAAAGATTTTCTAAACCTGCCACTGACAAACCATCCTAGTGTTTATCAGCTCTCACTGCTGAGAAGTTTTTCTTTTCTTTTTTTTTTTAAGATTTTATTCATTTATTTGAGAGAGAGAGAGCACGAGTGGGGGGTGAGGGCAGAGGGAGAGGGAGACGCAGACCCCTGGCTGAACAAGGACCCCACCGAGGGGCTCAGTGTGGGGCTCGATGCTGGGCTCCATCCCAGGGCCCAGGGATCATGACCTGAGTTGAAGGCAGACCCTTAACCAACGGAGCAACCCAGGCACCCCTGAGAAGTTTTTCTACTGTGAGAAGCCAATCTCAGCTCTCAGGGTTCCCTGAAAATTATTTAATTATCATTATTATTAATATTTTGGTATGAGACAAGAGAGGCCTTGTTCACTGAGAAAGACATTTTTAGGGGCTCCGCAGTGGGGCCGCAAAACCCCTCTCTAGCTTTGACACTTCTTCCTCCTATCCATGAATGCTCTCCTTGCATCAAACCTCACTACTGGTCATGCACGGAAGAAAGAGAATGCCTTCTCTCCATGTCTTTGTTCTCACTGATCCCTCTTCTTGGCATGTATTTGTCTCTTACTCATCCTATTTGTGGAAATTCTCTCCAGCCCTCAAGGCCCAGCCATATGTTTTCTCCTCCACGAAGTCTGTCCCAAGCTGGATGTCCCCACACTAGAAGTAATTTCTCCCTCTTCTGTGACTAAATAGCATTTCACAGCTCCTTTATGTAACCTACAGTGCTTTTGACACTGTGCCACACATTCATGTATGCAATCTGATCACCATAACTGGATTGTAAGCTCTTTGAGAACCACAGTGTGTAGAGCTCAATGTCTAATATATATTCATTCATCTATTAAACTAACATTTATGGAGTGCCCACTATCTCCTGGACACTAAGGGTACAGAGACCATTAAAGCATGTCTTCAAGGAGCTTATAGTCCAATGTGGGAAAAAAACTCTAAAGAGATGACCAGGTCCCTTTAAAAAATTAAAAACAGCTCCTTTAAGGCTGGTCATGGAAGGAGTCTTCTGGAGAGGAGAGCCTAAAGTCAACACCCCTAACCCTCAAACA